TTCCCGATATTCCACATTTCTACGATGTTATCATCTATTTAACCCCAATCAAAAATACGGCGCATATCACTATACATGTACTCCGACTGCATGCTCGTTTTATAATGACCAAAGTCTGCATTTCAAAATTTTGATGGTCGCCATCACGATATTATTGATCGCTATTATAACATGTACGTGTCTGCTATAGTATGCCTACCACTTCATGAAAATCTGTTACCGCTTTCCATGATGGACATTCTTACGTGACGATACATCAAATCAGCAGAATTCGACACTTTAGTTTGAATTTAATTTCGTGAAAATTTGGGACTTCTCATTTAAGCCAACTTTCTGACAAATAATGACTGAGGCCGCTTGATTCAGAGTTGGACGAGAAAGTTCCTCGGGATATTCCGTTGTGGTTTATCTGTGTCGTTGGCCAAGGAGGCCATTTGCACACGTTGACGGGCAAACAAAAGAACTATTAGTATTCGAAATAAGAATAGTCCATATCATTGCCGCAATCAGGGCAAATTTTCTGTCATAGCACACATATGGGATATGCCCATCCTCATTAACAATCTTACTTTCCGAGAGAGAGAGAGAGAGAGAGAGAGAGAGAGAGAGAGAGGGGGGCTTAACGTCCACTCGACACAAACTAGGTCATTTCGGGACTAACACATAGTTTAATTTGATTTCAATAATTCGCTTGCGCGTAGGGGTCTTTAGCACTGGGAGGAGACCCGAGGACCCGGAGAAAAGCCACGAGGCTGGACAGGCGACCCTACTCCTTGCCACGTACAACCGGGGAATCGAAACCACGTCAGTTAACTAAATGACAGACCTTATGATACAGCGCGCACGTACTAACCATTAGGCCAACCAAGGCCCCTAATAATTAGAGAAGCCTAGTCGAAACGTCGTTCAGTAATAAGCAGTAATTGTATTCCATACAATTGTAACCAGCATATTTATCAATCCGGTCGTTACAGAAAAGTAGGTCGTTACACCCTATTTCATTTCGTGTTGAATAATAAGTCAAAAACAAAAGGTAGACTGTTTAATAACAGGAAAATAATACATCATAACCAACAAAAATCATCTTAATACATGTACAGCATAATATATATGTTCAAATAACTTTATTTATACACTTTGAACATTTTATGGGAAATGTCAATCTGATTAAAATAGAGATCTATATTTCGTTTCGTTTTCTTTTATACTTTAGATTGCCTATACACTACATGAAGAACTGACAATTTGTACTGGAAGGTCGTGTCAGGGTCGTACGAGCGACTTTTGACCCAATGGCGTCAAACATTGATTAATCAATCAGCGTTGACGTTTCTAGTGGTTTACCTACATAGTTCAATTGGCTAATCACTCACTTCAACCAAAACGCCGGTAATATAACAACTTTTTTTGAACTATAAAAAACGAAACGAAATAGGATCTGTGTTTTAATCAGATTAGGGGAAATGTGGTGGCATTCAACACCAGTTTCAGTTTGAATTAATCGCAACGACTATTATAATTACAGTCACTGGTATTCTAAACTGTAAATCATTTCGTCGCGAGACTTAAGTCTGGCGTGTATTGCAATTTTATTTTCAATGACAAAGTTTAAGCGGCGTTCAGTTGTCCATTAGTGTCTCGAAAAAAAAAAAAAAAAAAATTGGTCGTCGCTCTGGAATCGTACATCAATGTCTATTTTTATGTTTGACCAATCAGTGCAAGCTAAAATATCATTTTATCTGTCTTAAGCTCCCCGCCTTAAATTTGATTTTCATCCATGTGGAACGGATCAGCGATGGCAATACAAGAACAATCGCCCGTCAATTGATTGTACGGGCACACCCATAGCCGTGATTTCGGCAGCATCGCTACTTGTCAAAGAATTAATCGCTGTGGATCACCCGTGAGCGTCTGGTTTACTCATGGTCGTATGGTAATGTTATAGTAAAAGTGGTTTAGGTAGTTTTATGTCACCGTAAGCCAATAGGCAATCTAAAGAATCGCCACATATCGTCGCTGCTTTAGGAGAGGAATTAAACATACCTTGTTAAAACCACCCCCTGTTAATTCTTTCTAGCAGTCTTATTTTGAAATAATAACTTAGATACGAAATTTTAAAGCTAGCAAAATATACGCTTCCAATGATACCACTAAGAAACCGAGGATTTCAAAATTTGTTAATATGCCTTAATATGCCAGAATATTCAAATTTACATTGGTTTCAATGCATGCCACACCATCATCTCTATCTAGTAGAAATAATTATGTCGTTTCATACAAAACAGCCCGAAGCAGTCTTCATGAATTTAAAAGAAAATACATGTTTTACTTTTGACATAATAATATGTGAATGTTCTGGCTTGGCTTAGTAAGTTACACCAGAGTTAGAAATACAGAGTTAGAACGTTCTGACTTGGCTTAGTAAGTTACATCATAGTTAGAAATACAACAATGTCAGCCATTAAATATGACTTCTCGACCTTTATAACCTGATATACAATATTTGGGGAGCCACGTCATTCAATTTATTAAGCCATCTTCAATTGCGATAGCGTTAGGAAAACTATACAAACACGTGGACAACAACAAGAAAACCTGTTTCATTCAAAAAGGTTTGACAGATATATGTGTACAGTCTGGTTTGGTTTTAGTAAATTACATCAGAATTATAAATACAACAATATCAGCCTTAAATATGACTTCCTGACCTTTATAACCCAATAAACAATAATATTTGGAGAGACTGCATTTGCATTTAAAGCAATCTAAAATTGCGATAGGGTTACGAAAAGTTGACAAAAATGTGGACAACAGCAAGCAGACCTGTTTCATTCAAAACAGTTTATATAATAATTATTATTTACCATGACATATGACATTTTGCAGTCGTACCGACGTTATGTATTTAGTGTTTGAAGCTAGATAAATGTACACGGATATATTATCCGGGTGAAAGCTAGACTTTTATACAATATACAGACATATATATATATATATATATACACACACACACATATTATAAATATGCAATATATACAGGTATCATTATTATTATTGTCATCATAGATTTATATAGGTATGAACATTCATGGCAATATATATTAGAGTTAAAGGTTAGAAAAATCATAATTCATGTACATTTCAAATGATATTTAAATATAACAATAATATCACATTCATTTCTCATATCAATATTCCAGCTTAGCATCAGGAGATTACCCTGCGTGTGCTTTCGTCCAGCCTTGACAGCGAACGCTCCATTATATGTGCTAACTAGTTAGCGTAACGAGAGTATATTGGACAAATTAGCATAAAATTACTACTATCAAAGCAAAAATGTTCTAGTTCTTATTCGCCTTCCGTGATGGGTGGGGGTGCGACATTATCGGTTAATTAAATATTCATAACAAATTAAACTAAAGAAATATTACCATGAATAACCTTTTCTCGAAAACACTTATTTGTATAATCCTACACTCGTGGAAGTAATGAAATGAAATGAAATGAAATGGGGTTTAACGTTGTGACAAATGTTTGTTTACGACTGACTAACATGATGTAAGATCGGATGATTGATTTTTATCCCCGTAAAATTCAATCGCTTAAATGTTGTGCCAATCCTAATTATGACTTTTAGTTTTTTCATTACACCTGATATGTAAATTAATGAGAACATTGTATCTACCCTTGAGCATCCAGTCCCATTACACTATGTTTAACTGAACCGATCGCGGTGAAATATAATAAAACAATTAATATACATTTTGTGACTACAAACAATTAGTTCTGCTCACATATCCCAACATATTCTCTTAAATATGCAAACTACAACTTCCAGGTTTAAAATCATATCATTGAAAATGGTACATTAAAAAGATGATAAAACAGTTATCCCATTCGTGCGTGTTGTGATATAAAATTTATCAACACTAGTCAATAAAGTAAAAACAAAAAAACAAACTAACACGAAATATTAAAACGTCTGATACAAAATTAAATAGCATGACGGTTTTTTTTTATCAACCAATATAATTCAAATCCAAAATCGGCGTAACCAATCAAAACTAAACATTGCATTCGGCCCGGACCGTTATTCTCGAATTACACAGTCAATTTGTGTTTAAATCAAAAAGACGGAAATCTAAGGTTAAGCGCTTAGAACATAGGAAATTAATGCGGTTTCATGTAAGTTATCCCAGCAGAATTTAAACTCCCGCGAAAATATTGTACTGAATATAAGATCAATCAGTTTGAACAAATTTAAAACGTTTAAACATATGTTATCTAAATTATTAATTAGACATTAATTAATCTATCTAGACCATAATCAACTCTCGATGGCACATTATAGTGTGATCAATTCATGAAGCATCGAGTTATATTGATATACAAATTCAACAATTAATCTGGAACATATTATATATTACAATAAAGCGCCATTGAAATATTACTGAAACATTGACTATAACAAAGTCCCAAATGTTATTAATATAACATACGATAAATAAAACCGACTTAACTTCTTTCAGTTTTCTTGAAGACTTAAACAACTCTTATCTAAATCAAAACTATCTTTATAAATAATCAGATGGAGTCCTTGACATTCAAATTCGATTAACACACCGAATAATTTTTGCATTCACATAATGCAAAAGAAAAAATATTCCGACGGAATTTTTTGTCTTTTTCCCACATTCATTAAACAGATTATGTAAGTCATAAATATTAATGTCACACCATAGATGCATTTGGACATTCACATTCAAAGACGAATATTTTCACAGAATTATTAAAGCACGTACACCTTAATTGTCATTAATTATTAAAGCACGTACCATTATAACAATTTAAACATTTGTCATATCAGTATTTAATTTAAAAAAAGTAATGACATCCAACACTTGCAATGGAAAGCCCAAAAAAAAAACACATTTTCACTCAAGCACACAACAAGTTATTGTTAAAATAATTTAATGATTTTTTTTGGCTTAAAGATTTAGTACACTTGCAATAGTGGAGTCGGAATGGGAAACGTAATAAGATAGCGGACTTTCCCCGCATTTGACCCAAAGCCCACATTTATCTAATAAAACAAACGTTTGTCTTGAAAGCGCTTACATCTGACCATAAGTGGGATGGATGTTAGCGACAGCACATAGCCTACAATAAGGGATACTGAATAATCGCCACAATCCATTTCAGATTTTCAGCAGGCATTGTATTACCAAACGCCCCAAATCCACAAGCAAGCCATCACAATCGTCACAAGACAAACGAATTCCGAATACGAAACAAACCAGTTCTTTACAAGTTGCGTCATCCCACATTATTAATATTTACGAAGGGCATCAAACCTCAGTTGGTCCGAGTTTTTCGCCAACATCATTCGGTAAGAAAGGATATACAGGCCTGTACACCTTTTCTTGTCGTCCGATATGAGTGAGGCCCACATCCGGCGGAAGTAGAGCTACCGGAAACATTGGTTTATATGACGATTCCTCGATACACGAATTACCATCTCCTCCATCCTGTGGGTGTTTACTTTTTCGCGATTGTCCCCGCGATTGGCCTTGATTCTGACTTTGAGCCTTATCCTTATCTTTTATCTGTCCCAATTTTGACCGTGCTAGTCAAATCTGCGACGTCTCTGTTGTGTCGGTCGGGGGTCGGAAGAAGCGCCTACTTCCGTCACGACAGAAGTTATATCGCACAGTGATATTTCTGGTGACACTACAGCGTCTATAAGTATGGTTTCCATCCTCAGAATAATCAATGTACTCCTTGCTTTCTGGTTGAACACATTTACATGGACACATAGAGAATAAAATACGAAACTCTCGTTTAAACTTCTCCTGCAAAAGATAATATAAAATGTTTATTTAAACATACATATTATACAAGAGCTAAATCTGCCTATTGCAGGTCATTCTTTAGGCCTGAAATGTTATCTAAATTTTTAATTAGGCATTAATTAACTTATCCAGATCATAATCAACTCTCGATGTCATCACTAGCCTGCGATATTTACTGGATTGGAATCCGATCTGCTGTTCAACGCTCATTAATGACAAATCAAAAAATAGATAGTCAAGACTATGTTTATTATCGTACCAACTTTGGTAATGATGATCGAGTCTAGACCTAAAATTCAATCTCTAAATTCTCGGGTCAGAGGGGATCAATTTGACTGAAATTTTCAGCAAATCCCCTTTACATTATCTAGTTTTTAACCGTCACAGTGAGAACTGTCAGCTCTTTATCTAATCTCCTATAATGTATCTGTAATCTTTAATTATTCCGAGTAACACCCAATACTGTACTGATGTGACGTTACGTGGATATAACGCTAAAATCAGACCAATCCCAGCGCAGAAACGATATAACCGGATTTTACTGTCTTATCAGAATCAGAGATCAAAGGGAAAATATTAAACTAATCTAACTACCAAAGCCTGCCACGCAATTAACAGACAGCTATACATTAATTTAAATTTCAAGAAAACACCCGTTAAAGATGTAACAACCCGAAAGGTTTTGACCACCCAGTATCTGAGCCCCTGCAGTTGATGGGTTAGGGAATGGAATTGAACTGACAGTCAGGATGTTTAGTGCGAGAGAAAAAAAGTACTGACCCTGTATAGCTATCGATAGTGCACGTAAAAGACCCTTTAGCAGTTGGAACAGGAAATAGTTGGTATGTATTAATATTGCTAGAGTTTTTTCTCTTATAATTAATGATAGCATTATATTGTATTAATTAATATCTCTGGCAAATTAGTAGATTCAGATTCACATATTTGTACTTAAATCAAGTTCGCGAATGAGTGACACATGGTTAGGTAAAAAAAGAGTTATAATGTGGTAAACATTCAATTCTAGGTTCATAACAGGTATCTCATGGGAAGTTTCTCCAGTAAATTTCCATTACCATATATAAGGGTGGGTTTCGACGTCATTAGCCTAAATTGACCAATCTCTTTGATTATTTACATCATAATTTGACCGATTGGATAATTGAACGTCAAAACCCAAGCGACAAAACTATCATTTGTGTGAGCAATCGCCAGACAGCAGCGAGTCTGGATGGCTAGTGTTTGAGAATGACTTTAGTATTGTAATCTATACTATGCTTGTATCCATGTATCCGGCTATGTTGCATTGTTATTCCTGGTAAGACAAACGCCTTAACTAACTAAGAAAACAGTAAGAAAATACACAACGTGAAGGGGGAGAAAGACAACAGGTGAAAATACTAGACGATCACAAGGCTACTAAAATATGTAGTAAGAAAAGATGCATGGGTCGTACGTAGGATGTGGCGACCGGTTCGAGAAGTTCTGCTCTCCACGTCTGACAGAAGGCCCATGGTGCTACATATTTGACTTGGTTTCCGTGACTAGAATCGACCTTCAAGGGAATCTAGAAGAATACATATTTGATTTGGTGAACGTGAGTAAAAGATCGAGTACCCTAGACGAAATATGGAAGAAGAAAACCCGTAGACCAGTACCCCAAAGAAATCTGGTGGAGAAACAAATTGGTGGAAAAACATCTGGTGGAAGAACAATTTTTGGTGGAAATATTCGCAGAATTGTTTAAATCCATTTTTTTGGGGGAAAATTGAATATGGCGTTGTTTAACAGATCAAAAAATGTTAATGCAAGGTTAAAATCTGATTAAAATACAATAAATGTTAAAATGCAACTGTATAGAGAATAAAATATAGTCATATTTTGATAGGCAGATTTATAAACAATATAATATCATTAGTTAGGTATGTATACTATCAGGTTAACATGACCTGTAGTAAGTATGGTAAATTTGAGTAATTCAATTGAAATTAAAGTGGGTCTGAGTAGTTTAAAAAACATTTCTTTTTATATAAGTAAGGAATAATCATACGAAAACGGAAAAGGGAAATAAAATAAAGAATTAATGTTGTCTCCGGATCAAAGTGGGAAGAGGGCAGAGCTAAGGATAGGGGCATGTTTCTACTTTGATTCGTTAAAATGTGTGTTTTTGTGTCGTTCGTATATGTGGTTAGCTAATTAAAGATAATATAGTTTTGAGGCTCTAGTCCAAGTTTCAAGATTATGGTTTTAGTCGAGTAAGACTAAATTAGGTAATTTAGCTTTTGAATAAAATGCTAGATTGCTAAAAGAATTGTGTTATTGTTTTGTCCATGTGTTCAGGTAAGTAAAGCTAATGTAATTTTGAAACCCTTAGTCCAAGTTTCAAGATTATGGTATGTTAACTTTTAAATAAAAAGTTGGGTTGTGTAAAAATCCCATATATGTCAATCTAAGGATGTAGGTATAGTTTTTCCCGAAAACCCCCCCACTAAAATTGATGACTCGTTAATCGCAAAGGCATTAATACGAGGTTAAGGTGAGAATAGGACATTTTTTTTAGAAAAGTGATAGATTATACAGTATATTTTATCCGTATATAATTTTGCGTAATTAAATTTTGCTTTAGACACGTAATATAAACGTTAAATATACATTTGCTAAATGTTATTTTGTCATGAATAAAATTTTGCTTTAAATTGTTCACGCGAGGTGGCAAGAATCTGTAATTTGACATGTCACATTCTACTCTTTCGTCTTGTTAGTATAAACAATAGTTTTCATACTATGTTAAAGTTGAGGTGTGTGAAAGTCACGTGATGCAATAATATATAAGTCTGCCGGATTTAGATTATTTCCTAGATTGGTCGACCTTGACTTTTGATCCCACCTCAAAAATTTTCCCCAAGTGATCATGATGGGTCATTTTTTTCTGGAGTACCTAGTGACCCCACCTTTTATTTGAGACCAAGTTTGCTTTGACGGGACTCTTTTCCAGTAAAACACATCAATCTGTGTTTATCCGGCAGACTATATAGGATATAGTTAATTAAAAGTTAGGTATATCTGCGTCTCGATTTTGACAATTGCCATAAACTTAGTGTTAAATTGTACGATAAACGTGATGACTTCGACTTTCCTATTGTTAACTTTTCATTTATTAGTAGTAACATGTCGATATGGGGTGTTTGTGTCTCAGCTAATTCGTTACGCGAGAGCTTGTTCATTTTATTCTGATTTTTTAAGTAGATCGAGGCATTTGTCATCTAAGCTTCAACTACAGGGATACTTGCGAACTAAACTTATTAAAACCTTTAAAAAGTTTTATGGCCGTCATATTGACTTGATTGGTAAATATAACATGTCTTTCTCGGCTATTATTCTAGATATATTTTATTGACTCGTATACTATCTCCTTGATAATATCTGTCTACTACATCGTTAACACTGTTTATCACGTGCATCTTGCATACCGATAGTCCATTGGCCAATCACGCTATTTTACCGAGATTTCGCCTAATAGTTTGGATGCAGCTATGGCGGGTGTGGCGCCAGGCAGGGTAAGATCTTCCGGACACCTGTTACCACTGTTTGTCGTGTATTTTGTACACGGTGAACAGTCCATATGCTGATTACACTATTTTGCCTATACGGTTTTCTTTAGGACTTCGAATTTTGTCTAATGGTTTGGATTGTTCGTACTTGGTTTTATTTTATTTCTACCACTGGGTGGGTTACTCTGCTGGTGGATATTTTATGTCCCCGAGGTTACCTGAAACCCAGTAGCTTTATAGTTACATGTTAAGTACAAATAACCAATATATACGGCTGGGAGGCAGTTTGATGGTACAAAAACTGCTACGATACCCCCAAGGGCACGAGGGTAATCGGTGATATATCCCAAAATACTAGTAAGAGTATGGGAGATATTCTTCGTTCAGGTGCCTGTAATCTTTTAAATTCCTCGTATACTTCATTAATCTCAACCCAACCATGGTCTGTCAAACTAACTGATATTTTGCATTTTTCACCAGATCAATATAATTGTTATATGTCTAAATCTACGTCTAATAATTGTAAAACTTGTCCTATTTTGAATAGTAATAATTTTTTTACAAGTTCATTAACAAAGAAAACATATTTTACACGTGGGTTTGAGAAACTAAATTGTAAAACCTCCAATATTATCTACGGTATAGAATGTACACTCTGCGGACTGGTTTATGTTGGCGAAACTAAAGGACCTTTACATTTACGCATTAACGGTCATCGTCACAATATTAATAAGGGTAGTAGCCAGATTCTTTATATACGTTTTAACCAACCTGACCACTCTATACTATCTATGAGGGTGTCTATATTAGAGAAAATTTACCACCATACCAACAGCCCTACATTGAGTACTCCCTTTCGCAGAAGCCGAGAGGAATACTGGAAACGTACATTAGGTACTACCACCCCTTACGGGTGCAATGACAATGTGTCTAGTATTGGAAATTTGTCTAGTCCTGCGTGTAGCAATGTTAATGTCATGACGTTATTCCCAAAGTTTCTTCGTCGAAAACGCAGTCATGGACATCGTCTCTACAGACCACCCAAGCTTAGCACTATTACACTTGATGCCCCTTTGGAAATTATCAAAGAACCACTAGGGCCACACCATATCCGTACTAAATTATATTCGATTCCATTTACTATTTTGAAATTACTTAAATCTGAATGTTTGGATTCAAATTGTACTGATCCTGCATCCACTGAATAAGGGTTGTATCCATTGTTCTTAACATTGCCCATCGTCGTTTGGACATTTCGACTGCGCCTGATGTGTCTAACACCACCAATAGTTCATTTCTAAAACTGAAATTTGCTAATAAAGGCATTGATGCTATCGGGTTAAGCCAAATATTACACCATAAGCAGGTCACAGCACACATCCCTCCTTACTTCAAAACTGTTACTGTTCCAAGGATTTCTTATACGTATACTAAACCCATTGCATCCAAAATATTTAATTACTGAAACGCATTATCTAACATCAATGCAAAAGAATTATATGATAACCCTCTACCCTGTTCTTGCTCTACGTCGTCCTTCATTTACCAACCAGCTGGACATGTAGTCACTGGTGATTTAAACATAGTCCAGAATAATAAGTTACGTGAGATTTTGTCTAAAGGACCCAAATACCGGGAACCGCAACCATTTTCATGGGATCAAAATTTCAAACTTATTATGGATGCCGTAGAGGACTACGCTAGATCATGGGCCAAGAGGGAAGATGTTATCTCTGATACTCTCTCAGATTGGACTAAGACTATCAGTCGTTTACTTAAACGAAGAATTTATATGCAACGTTTGTTAGTTGACACTAGGCCTAAATCTATTTTCAATAATGTTAGCATTGTTGAAAATATCAACGCCTTACATGACAACAGGGGCGAATCCAGGAATTTTTGCAGGAGGGGGTTTGCCAGGTTCCTGAGACAATGTATCTCCCCCCCCCCCCACATGGTCTCTATCGCCATTTTGGCGTATATACATACACATTGAGCTTTTTAAACAGAGAAATTCAACACCTCGTTTGACGTCAATTTTTATTATGAATTAAAACAATAACATTGTGATTCAATTTCATGGATGCAAAGCATTCATCGTGATATCACATAATGTCTATATCATTATCTCGTGCTTTAAGTGCCCATCCTATCCCACATCTGACGATAAAGGATAAAGCACACGGCCGAGAAACTTTTCTCATAAAAAGTGTTGATTTACAAAAAAAATAATGTCATTGTACCGGCTGACAAAGCGTCCAATAAGTTAGTGTTTATATGTAAACGATATTATTATGACTGCCTGTTCAAAGAGCTTAATTTCGGGAAATCAATCGACAGTGTTACGTATAAACGCCCTACTCTTAATAAGGATGAAATTATATCCAATCACAGATCTGTACTCACTTCATTTGGTACTCCATGTGGAGATACCTATACAGATCTGGCCTTGTTATATTGGATACCTAAACTACATAAAAATCCCTACAAGCAACGTTTTATAGTAGGTTCATCCCGTTGTTCCACAAAACCACTTTCAAAAGTATTGACATCTATACTAACCGCAGTGAAAGACGGTATTCAAAAATACTGTGACAAAATATACTCTCGTAGTGGCTTTAATCAAATGTGGATATTACAAAATTCCAAAGAATTACTTGATGGTTTGCAATCTAGATCACTTGCTTCAAACTCATCTATACAAACGTTTGACTATTCTACTTTGTTAAATAAAATACCCCATAGTAAATTAAAAGCTCGGTTAAAAGACATTATTCACAGTGTCTTTTCATCTAAATCGGGAAATGTTAGATATCAATAGTGATTCTAAAAATAAATTCACCGCCAACAAGATAATTTAGATGTTGGATTTTTTAACTGATAATATATTTGTTGAATTTGGAGGGGAGATTTATCAGCAAGTGGTAGGTATCCCCATGGGCACCAACTGTGCACCTTTGCTTGCTGATTTGTTTCTCTATTCCTACGAAGCCGATTACATACAGGCACTCGGAAATCAAATAAACGATTAGTCAAGACATTTTAATTTCACTTATCGATATATCGATGTTGTTCTATCACTGAATAATCAAAAATTTAGTGACATGTAGAATTCATATATCCTGATGAGCTCGAAATTAAAAACACTACTGACAGTGACAATTACGCTTCCTACTTGGATATGCGTCTCGATTTTGACAATTGCCATAAACTTAGTGTTAAATTGTACGATACACATGATGACTTTGACTTTCCGATTGTTAACTTTCCATTTATTAGTAGTAACATTCCGATAACACCAGCCTATGGAGTGTTTGTGTCTCACCTAATTCGTTACGCGAGAGCTTGTTCATTTTATTCTGATTTTTTAATTAAAATTTAACTTCATTTAATTATTAATAAACTTTGATGTGTCTCTTTAATTATAAATCTCCAAACTAACTTTGACCTCTTGAGATTATAATTCTAAAACAAAAACGGAAATTATAAAATTATAATCTCAAGAGGTCAAAGTTAGTTTGGAGATTTATAATTAAAGAGACACATCAAAGTTTATTAATAATTAAATGAAGTTAAATTTAAATTAAAAAATCAGAATAAAATGAACAAGCTCTCGCGTAACGAATTAGGTGAGACACAAACACTCCATAGGCTGGTGTTATCGGAATGTTACTACTAATAAATGGAAAGTTAACAATCGGAAAGTCAAAGTCATCATGTTTATCGTACAATTTAACTCATCGAGACGCAGATCCAAGTAGGAAGCGTAATTGTCACTGTCAGTAGTGTTTTTAATTTCGAGCTCATCAGGATATATGAATTCTACATGTCACTAAAATTAGTATTATTCAGTGATAGAACATCATCGATATATCGATAAGTGAAATTAAAATGTTTTGACTAATCGTTTATTTGATTTTCCGAGTGCCTGTATGTAATTGGCTTCGTAGGAATAGAGAAACAAATCAGCAAGCAAAGGTGCACAGTTGGTGCCCATGGGAATACCTACCACTTGCTGATAAATCTCCCTTGACCCCCAAAACATACAGAAATTTTATAACCCTTTACCATAGAATAACATCATTTACAGATTTGCATGGGGCCACCTACCTAAATTTAGCACGTTGATACACCAGCATGCAGACAGACAAGAAAAATATGAATAGGTTAGACATCAAAATTATCATCCTATACTAAATACTATGGGAGTTATAGGGGATTATTTAAAAGGGTGACCCAGGTTCACCCGCTAGATTCTGGAAGAGGACATCCTAGGCTACTAACATCAATCATAAAAAACTTTGCATACAATTTCCAGGTTCAGACATAGTTCTGTTGGACTATTAATTGGGCTGCAACTATTGAAATATTGAGATTTGTGCAATATACAGATCACATTTTTCTATAGACTATACATGTAATAACGAAATATCTCTACAGAACCAACTAAAGGCCAATATACACGAGCCCACCTTTGAGGGCAATAGAGACTTTTGGCAAGCGTAAATTCCTGTTACGTATCGCGTATCCGTATCTATTTTGCGTGTGACGCCACCAATATGTGTGTATTTCTCATACGTGTCACAGCACACGCATACAACAGCACGTATCGAGCACCGTTCATACGGAAAAGGTCCTTATAACATCGCCGTCTTTTTACCGTTCTTTTTGCTACTTTTAGATGGAGAAATGTTGTGCCATAGCATTTTATTTTTTAATCTATGTGTATCCTAGAAACAACTATAAAGACTGGAATCTAATCAGTTTTTCTCGGATTTTTCATACTTTTCCTGTCTGTGTGCTTGCTAGTTGATCTAGGTGCCTAGCCTACAAATTCCTGGAAGGAGTAAAGTCGTTCGACAGTCGCTGAGCTATTAAAAAAAATAATGTCGAATCTTATTAAAAATCTCCGACTTCGACTCTACAGCAATTTTAGGTTTCACTAATGTATCATTTCAGAAAGTTTATACCCCTTTACCATAGAATAACATCATTTACGGATCTGCATTGTCCCACCTCCCTAAATTTAGCACGTAGATCAACCAGCATGCAGACAGAAAAATATGAAAATTCCGACAAAAAACTCATCAAAAATAATTATTAAATGCCTGTCTTTATCATGGTTAAAATCAGATCAAATATACTCCTTCGTGTTCTAGGATACACAAAGATTCATAAAAACGCAATCTGATTAAAATACAGATCTATATTTCGTTTCGTTTTTTTTATACTTTCGATGGCCTACACTACATGAAGATCTGACAGGTTGTAACGATAGATCGCGTCAGAAGTCATACGAGTGGCTTTTGACCCTATGACGTGCAAAACACGCCTAAAGCTCGTCGTAACCGACCGTTTCATTGGCTAATTCCTCACACTATTCAGAACACGTCAATGATAATAACTTTTCCAGATCCTAGTGTAGTAAAGACAAGTAAACGAAATTTTGAACTATAAAAACGAAACGAAATAGGATCTGTGTTTTAATCAGATTGATAAAAACGCAATTGCACAACATTTCAGCGTCTAAAAGTAGCCAAAAAGGCGGGAAGAAGACGACGATGTTATATGATCTTTCCCGTATGAAAGCTGTTTGATGCGTGTTGCCGTATCCGTGTTATCACGTATGAGAAATATACACGCAATACGGATATGCGATACGTATGCTTTTGTTGATTGTAGGATCCATTTTTATACGCCCACATTTTCATGTGGACGTACATTGTCGTCGCCTCTGTCCGTCCGTCTGGACGTCCGTCCGACCGTCCACAATTGTTTGTGAACAGTCTACAGGTCACAATTTTTAACCGATTTCAATGAAACTTGAAATATAGGTTTATCACCCTAAGATCTCGGTTCCTTTCGATATTGGCATGTATCAGACCCTAACTTCATGGATTATGGCCCCTGATTGTACGAAAAATCACGTTTTTAGCTTGTGAACACTGTAGAGGTCACAATTTTTATCCGATTTAGTTTAAACTTGAAATGTATGATTATAACCTAAAGATCTCGGTTCCTTTCGATATTCGCGCATATCAGAACGTAACTTCCTGAATTATGGCCCCTGATTGTACGAAAAATCGCGTTTTTAGCTTGTGGACCCTATAGAGGTCATAATTTTTATCCTATTTAAAAAACCGTATTATTATATCACCGTTAAACCCTAAGACCAAAACGAAGCAATTATACTTACGTTACATAAACCATATATAAATGGATTATAACAGGAGTTACTCATCGCAAACCAATTAGAACATAACCATATAATATTCATGTAGTGATAGCTGTAATAAGAACCACACATGCAGATAATTAGTCCTAAAAAGCATAAAATAAGGATTACAGGTAGTGAGACATGCTATAAGATCAATACTAAAGATAATTTGTCCTTATTATATAGATTACAAATAAAATGTTATTCAATTATCATACCAAAAAAAAAATCTTTTAAATTTACCCCCTCCCCCGAAAGTATACAATTGGTGGGCTCTCGTCAAAAGCAACTACAGTACAAATGTATACGGTAGAGAGTTTAACGGAAGTCCCAGTTTTCACGGAGCTTCAGGAAAAGCATATACACATCGAATGCCAGAATGTGACGAAAGAGTTTCAACTTAAATATAGAGTCGTTTGGAAATGAATAGGGGTTACGTAATATTTTAAGTACGCCCGTCTCTAAATTTTCATTGAGTGACCTGTTAAATGCGTTTATTTTATATTTGTTAACGTGTCTGGGTTAAAGACATTTTTATCCAGGAAGAGAGTGACTGCCAGTCCAGCTGAGGGGATAGAATAAAGTGTTCTGATGTGCATTCCACACATTGTTAAAGATACATTAACAATGCATTTAAGATGTAAGAACTAAATCTGCCTAATGCAGATCTTTCGTCTGGCCTCAAATGTTATATAAATAGTTAGACAATTATAGTCCGGCAGCAGGTCGACAAACCTGGAAATATAGCCCACCTAAAGTTTTTTGATGGATTATATATCTTCAGATTGTCCCAAATCGTGTTTGGACGGTTGATTAGGAGCATGTCACGACGAATTGCTGAATGTCTGAGGATTGGTGGAGCAATTACTCATTATTAAGACAAAAATCTAAAACGTCCATTTTCACTTTTGACAGTGTATCTCTTTGCGAGTGAAATGGGCCCATCAGATAAGCCGCCCATGTGAACTATTTATGTTCATGTGTAGACAATTGGCCTGTTATTAACATACACTGGTTACCTCTAATAAAAACAGAAGTGCATTTCCGCAGGATTTGTGTGCTAAAATTGATTTTTTGTTGTTTTGAGTTGATTACGGTCCAAACTATCAAAAAATGTCTGGGTTCAAATTTTCCGACCCCTTGACCCCTCTGGGAGAAGCATTTTTGAAAGCGGGACCCCTCTGAACGAGAACATGGCTATCTCCGCCAATAATAGTTGGATATTCATGATCTGAAGTCCATTCTCGTGTTTTGTCACCATGCCGACCCATCTATGACACCCTTAAAGCTATTGGAAGTAGTTTTCATTGACTTCCGGTGGGGAATACCAATTTCCGGTGTCAAACTCGGATTGATTTCAGCCAATAATATTTGGATTTTCATGATCTAAAGTTCATTCTGGTAGTTTTTTCATCATGCCGACCCCATCTATAATACATTTAGAGCGAATTGAAGTAGTTTTTTTTACCGACTTCCTGTTGGACATACCAATTTCCGGTGTTAAACTCGGATTGATTTCAGCCAATAATATTTGGATTTTCATAATCTGAAGTTCATTCTGGGTGTTTTTTCATCATGCCGACCCCATCTATGATACACTTAAAGGGAATGGAAGTAGGTTTTTTTTGTCGACTTCCGGTTGGAAATACCAATTTCCGGTGTCATTGGAATGTTGTCATGTGATTGAAGACGAATCTGACGTTTGTGACAAGTAAACAAGTTTGATATCAAAAACAAAAAGATATAATAACAGGCCAGAAGTCGCCAGAAACGAAAACAACGAAATTCCTATCTTGGAAATAAACACAACGCAGTCCACTACATCAGCGATGCATCATCCTCGTCTCCTTGCACATCCCTGATCATATCAAAACCCGTGCACAGAGATGTACAAGGTCGACCAATATTTGGAAACTGCATCGCTCCGTGCAGCCTGTTCTACAACCACTTTTTTGTTAGTTCAGTTAAAGCACGAGGGCCAGGCAGAGTAAGATTCTGCACAGGAACATACATGCCTTTGTCAAAGTGCCAGCCCGTTTGTTCAATGGCTGAAAGGTTCGAAGATCTGGTCACGTAAGACGGTGTAATTCACCAATTTAGTAATATCACGCCTTCAAAACAGTTGATTACAGGGTCGTCACCTTCAAGCTTAAGGTATGCATGAACCAATGTATTTTTTATGGTGCCCACAAACTTGCCTCCGCAGTCAGCACCGGGGAGGTTGGGAAATCCAATCAGACCTTGACACATTTGACTTCCAATGGCACATAGTCGCTTAATCACATGTATGTCTCTCTATTTTGCGGCCGTCGCAGTTAAAATCTTGAAACGACCTCGAGATACAAGGTCTAGGTGAATTGTGAGGACATCACTATAAGCTACAGATGCAAGAACTTAGTGAAGTATGAGTGTGTCATCCTATTCATGTGCGACCAAATACTACACGTCCTCAACTTTATAAAACCAGTATGGAGTCGATTCGCCTGGCAAATGCCTCTTGTAAGCCAGAGAGTTTCTGCATGTTTGATGTTTTCTTCATACTCTGAAGCACAGCCATAGCGTCAATGATGAGAACTTTGGGTGGTGTAGCCCGTGCTGTATCAGCTAGGCTAGCATATGACACTGGTTGAGCCTTTGCTCCTAGTCTGTTTGATACAGCAAAGGCTACACCACACCAGGTTCTAATCATTGAGCAACTCTCGGATCTTGCATTTGTAGGCGAGAGTTACTGGCGGGAAGCACGTCTTTGCCCCCACAATTCTCATGAACCTTGTCGTCTCGGTATTCGCAGTCATTTCAAGTTTGTAACTGAGAAGGCTGCAAAATACAGAGGTTTAGAGTTAGATGTGATCGAACGAGTGCGTGTCAGTGGAAGTCATAAGTCTAAAGGTCTGATTGGACTTCGCGGCTTCTCTGGTTCTGACTGGAGAGGTAAATTTGTGGGCATCACAAAGAAAACATTGGTTAGTGCACACATAAAGCTTGATGGTGATGACCCTGTTTTTATCTGTTTCATCATCTCAACTGAGCTGTTGAATAATGACTTTCTTTCGCAGGTCAAGGAATTGGAGAGGTTTGTCTGCCAAGTCTACTCTTCGTCTGTTCCATTAAACCTACCAGCACTTGTTCAGAAAAAACTTGGAGAGAAAGATGCTTCCACCGACTCGCGCTGCATTGTTGCCCGATATCACAGGAACAAAGCACACCACGATATGCGACAAGTCGTACCTAACCAGATCCCAGAACCTTCCTGTCATTTAACGAAAGCTTCTGGCAGTTGGACAAAGGCGTTATGTTCCTGTGTAGAATCCTGATCTGCCTGCCCCTCGCGCTGGAAATGAACTCACAAAATGTGGTTGTAAAACAGGCTGTAAGAGGCGATGTAGTTGCCACAAAGTGGTTTGCTTTATACATCTCTCTGCACGTGTTTTGATAGGGACCGTACCAATATGATAAGGGGTGTGCAGGAGGACGAGGATGATGAATAACTAATGTAGTAAACTGTATTGTATTTATTTCCAAGATAGAGTCCTTTTGTTTCATTTCTGGCTTGTTAAGATTCTTTTTGTGTTTCATATTAAACTTGTTTACTTGTTACAAATGTCAAAATGTCTTGAAACATTCCAGTCACCCAAACGTGACCATATGAAACTTTTTATCATGCTTCAAAAGCCACAAAACAGTAGTAGGCCGAGACAACAGAAATTGGTATTCCCCACTGGAATGCAATGAAAACTACTCCCATTTGCTTTAAGTGTATCATAGATGGGGTTGGCATGATGACAAAAACCCAGAATGAACTTCGGTCAGGGGGGCCCGGATTTCAAAAAGGCCCCTCCCAGACGGGTCAAGGGTCGAAAACGAAACATTTGAACCCTAGAATTGGGTCCGCATGATGAACAAATATCAGAATGAACATCAGATCATGAATATCCAAAGGTTATTGGCTGAATTCGATCCGTGTGTGACACCGGAAATTGGTATTTCCTACCGGAAGTCAATGAAGGCTATATCCATTCGCTTTAATTATATCATAGATGGGGTCGGCATCATGAAAAAACACCAGAATAAACTTCAGATCATGAAAATCCAACCATTATTGGCGGAGATAGCCATGGCCTCGGTCAGAGGGATCCTGATTTTAAATGCCCCTTCCAGAGTGGTCACGGGGTCGGAAAATTGAAACCCCAACATTTTTGGATAGCTTGGTCCACCATCAACCCAAAACAAGAAAATAAAAATCAGTTTTAGCATACAAATCCTACGGGATGACATGCCACACCACACTAATATCCCCTACCTTTTTTGAAGAGTATATTACTTCAATATGTGTAGTTTCAGAATCCGGATAATACCACTTTGGCATCCTTGTGGAAATTAAAATATTCAAGATAGCCGTCATGAGGCATTTTCTGGTTATTTACTTTAGTTTAATGGGGTACAATTCGGGACAAATTCTTTTGGACCTCTGTATGAAGGTGTTTTCTGTAAGAATTTGATCCGCTGAATCTATTGAGCTTGGGCATGTCTCCTAAACGTGACGGCTAATTCTGCTAGGTGGCCAATTCACAATGGCAGCTCGTTTTTTTGAGGTAAACTCACAATGCTCCCTAATACGGTGTGTAATTTATTGAAATATAGCTTTTCGTTGTCAATTTCTTCAGATATGTTCGATCTAAAGGTACTGCAACCCGATGATATTCTTCCACTTACAGTCTTATAAGGACACACATTATACACGGTCAAACACAATCAACTATCGGAGCAATGTGCGTTGAAAGCAAATGTTACTAATAGCAAACTGGGACTCACATATTTGTCTTGCGCAACCTCGGTTATTTGTCTTAACTAACCCTTTCTTAAAACACTGGGATACTCACAATGGGTAGAACAGTCTGATTCTTCCCATTCCATCCGTATCATGCAACGAAGATAACATTTGTCTTGCCAGTTATTTGGTCATTCATAAGCGCCGGTAAAGCTGGAGTTTGTATCACGCTGACAAACATTTCCCATTCCTTATTCCACTGTTTTCTAGTAGAGAAGGTGACACGGACGCGTGTCAAAGTA